TTTTTTTTTTTTCTTTTTTCTTCTGGTGATGGGAATGGTATCCAGGGCCCTAAAGATGCTAAGATTTACTTTACTACTGATTTATTTATTCAACTACTTTCTTTTTTAAAATGTACTTACTACTGGGTCTTACTACTAGATCGGACTCAAAGTGATCCTCCTGTTTTTCAGCCTCCCAAGTGCTGGGATTACAGGCTTGTACCACCAAACCCAGTCTCAGCCACCACCTCAGCACACCCAGGGGTCAGGGCTGGGGACATTGAATCCCAGCCGATGTGCTCTGCCTACGCAAGTGTTTTCATCTGCTGAGCTATCTGGCCAGCCCACAACCACCTTCTTTATACTCTTCTAAGGTGCAAAATACTGCTAATTCACTCATTCAACGAACGTTTATTGCACATTTACCGTCTCATACATATTATCCCATTGCGATTTCAGTCTTCACACCAAACCTTTGAGGTAGATGATATTAACCTTCCTTCCTTTTACAGATGCGGGAACTGAGGCTCAGGGGGCCTCTGGACAAGCCGCACAGACGAGATGTGTGCCACACGGGTCTGTACTCTCTCCCCTCCCAGCTGCCTGGCTTCCTGCTGGGGACAGTTAGTTAACCAGGCTTGGACCATGCACTTCCTCTGGGGAGTCCCAGCTCACCATTTGCCTTCTAAGCAAATAAGGGTGCAGCGGATGATATTTCCTGAGACAAGGGAAAGGTCTCGCCTGTACCTGCTCCTGAGGTAACACTGAGAAAAGTCCAGCATCTTGGTTTTTTTTTTTTTTTTTAAACAAAAGAATGGGAAGGTGGTGGTCAAGTTTAATCTGTTTAAGCTTTAAAAAATTTTTTTTTTTTTTGAGACAGGGTCTCACTGTGAAGTTCAGGCTGGCCTTGAACTTGATGAGGCGCTCAGACTGGCCTCAAACTCAGTGATCTCCTGCCTCAGCTTCCCCAGTGCTGGGTCACTGGTGTGTACCACTGCTCCCAGTTTAATCTGTTTGATTGTTACAGGCACTTTTCTTTTTACAAGTTTGGAAACTTGAGGGATCCTTGAAAGAAGCTGAGGGATGAATTTCAGTTCCCAGGTCGCTGCCTCAGGAGCCAGGCAGTCCTTAGTGGCAATGTTGGGCTCAACTCCAGCCTGCAGGAGCCATTCACCCACACTCCTCAAAGATGTCAGGGTAGTGCCGGAAGAGCACGGGCGGGTCCCAGTCACCTCGGACTGGGGCCCGAGGTACAGCCCGGATGCCAGGTCTCCTGCCCCGCCGCCCCCCAGAGCAGGAGCGGTGGATCCACTGGTGCCCTTCCAAGGCATACTTCCTCTTGAAGCGCATGCCACACTCGGGGCAGGGGAAGGGCCGCTCATTGGAGTGCATGCGCCGGTGGTTGAGTAGCAGCGAGGGGTAGGTGAAGCGGCGGCCACAGTCTGCACACACGTGGCACCGCTGGTTGGCCTGAGCATCCACAGTGGGCGTGGGGACAGGAGGCTGGGCTGCCGCCACGTGGTCCCAGGCAGCTTTTGTGGGTGGCTGAGATCTTGCCAAGGCCTTGCTGACAGATGAGTCAGGACTGTGTTTAACCAACTCTTCAGGCGGTTCCTTCCCAGGAGTCAGTGCAGGTCCCTTGTCTCCTGGCTCTTCTTTGGGTTCCTCCTTCTTGCTCGGGGAGTCTGCTGAGAAACAGGAATTTAAAACTTTTTTCATAGACTATCTCAGGTAACAGGGTCTTTAATTTATGGTAGAAGAGTATTGCCCCATGGTTTACATGCACACTTTAGTGGACAATAAACAGCTTTAATCTTTCTCTCTCTCTCTCTCTCTCTCTCTCTCTCTCTCTCTCTCTCTCTCTCTTTTGTATTTAGTACAGTCTATAGGGTCTACAGGTTCTCACTACATAGATCACATTCACCGTGTTTTCAGCCTCCCGAGCGCCGGGATTACAGGTGCACACCACCACGCCCACTCTCAATTGCTGTCTCAGCACGCAGGAGAGGCCAGAACAACAGGCTGGGGATCGAACCCCAGTCCCTGTGTCTGCCTAAGAGGCACTTTAGTCCACTGAGCTATCCGGCTGGCCCTCAAATCTCCTTTCTAATTTTGCTCCACAGGGTTGTTCAGCAAATTAAACTGGTAGATGCATGGTAAGCACTTAGTAAATACTTGGGAAGTACTACTTATATTCTGAAAGAGGGACCTGGAAACCTAAACATCTTGGATTTGGCCTCCTGGTTCTTCCACTCTGGTCTTAACATCCCTATGGTCCCAAGATCGAAAATGAAAAAAAAAATTATTATTAAGATTAAAGGGGCTGGTGAGATGGCTCAGTGGTCTAAAGCACCTACTTAGAACAAGCTTAGCAAAGCCCAGGGACCACGGTTCAATCCCCCAGCACCACATGCCAGCCAGCCCGCCCCCCCCACACATAAATAAATAAAATTAAAACACACACACACACACACACATAAATAAATAAAATTTTAAAAAAAGTTATTAAAAAAAAAGATTAAAAATTTGGGGGCTGGGGAAGATAGTTCAGTAGAATAAGCACTTGCCTGGCAAGCGCAAGGACCTGAGTTCAATCCCCGGTTCTGCCCCCCTAAATAAATAAATAAATAAATAAATAAAAATGGGGGGGCCAGTGAGATAGTTCAGCGGTCTAAAGCACCTGCTTGAGCAAGCTTAGGCAGGCGGAGAGGACCACAGTTCGATCCCTGGCACCAGATGCTTGCGAGCCAAAAAGAAATAAAGATCTAAAAATTTTGTAAGTACTATGGCTGCCTGCTTTCCTCCTCCAGTGTGCAATATAGATGGGCTCTTTGTGTGTGTGGTGGTGATGGAGATCAGGCCCAGAGGTGCTCTTTCACTGAGCTACAGCCTCATCTTGTATTTTTGTTTTAAATTTTGGGAGTCTTGCTAAACTTGCACAGCTGCAACTCAAACTTTCCTTTCTCAGCCTCCCTCAGTACTGAGACTACATGTGGGTGCCACTGCTCCTGGCTTTAGCTCTTTAAGTGTGGGACCTAAAAGAAAACTCTGCTAGACAGGAAACCCTGGAAAACCAAGTCAGGGGAGTCCTGGGACCATCCCTCACCTCTCAGAGCTCCTACCGGGCTTTCCCTCTCCTCAGGATCCTGGGCGGCGGAGCTCCAAGCCTCACTCTCCTGTTCCATCCAAGAGATGAGGGCTGGTTTTGGGCCCGGGAATCCTGGGAGAGAACAGGGATCACAGTGCTGGCCTGAGAGGCTGTCCTGGGAAGGTGGCATCCCCCAGCCGAGGTGAGGGCACCTCCACAGAACTTGTGCGCAACTCAGACGGGGTCTGCAGAGCTCCTGCCTGATAGGAAAGGATGCGGGACAGGAAGACTCCCGAGGGGGCAGCTAAATCCCTGAGAACAGGTGGTGGCCGGTGCTGCTGAATAGTGCAGGTCTAGAGCTCACAGTGCCGTCGGTGGAGCTACACCGTCTCCCCTGTTAACCCCGTGAGAGAGGTGGGGGGCCCTGGCCCGGGGCCTCACCGAGCGCGCCTAAGTGGCCGTAGGTCTCGCGCATCACGTCCCGGTACAGGGTCCTCTGCGCGGGCCGCAGACAACCCCACTCCTCCGGGGAGAAGTACACGGCCACGTCCGCGAACCTCACGACCCCGCGCTTCCTGCAACCAGGCTGGGTCTCCCCGGGTCGTGGCCCCAGCAGCGGGGCCGGGGGTGGCGCCATGGGAGCTCCCGGCTCCGAGGCCGGCCGCCTCGTCCCTGAGCCGCCGCCTCCCCACTTCCGGCGTCAGCTCTCCTAGTCCACGCGAACGGCTGCGGTCCAGGCCCCGGCCCCGGCCAGCCTCGGTCTCCCAGCGCTGCCAGGTATGGAAACCAAAATGGCAAGGACTGGCTGCGAGGCGATCAGGGGTTCTGGTGGGGACAGATAAAACTCCTAGGTATTTATTCACTTCATGGCCTCTTGGACAGAGATACCGGGGTAAAGGACCCGGAAGATGCCTGTAGAAAATATGGCGGCAACCTGGCTTCAGTTGCCACTGATGGTTAAGGACCTCGTTCTTGAGCATAGCAAATATGGCACCGCATTGGCTTCGTTGGTTTTAGAGCCCCATTCACCCTTAAAAACAATGGCTGTCTCAGGAGATTTGGCCTTGATGGGAACTGGAGGCCCGGCCGGGAAATCCCGAAAAATGTTTTTTTGCCTTCAAGAAAGATGGACTCACTGGCGGCTTCACTTGCCTCTCTGTGGCGTCGATACACAGCGGTCGATGATTGGCTGTGAGTGAAGGAAGCCGCGTCATGATTGGCTCCGGGCTGGCGGGCCATTTGAAAGGCTCCGAGGCCCGCACGCCTCTGCACGGAGGGGAATACCTGAATACCTCGGCTTTGGTGGTTCCCCGGGGTGATCTCGACGGTCTTCCAGCAGGGCTTCCTGCGCTGGCTCTACAGTCTGGTCTCCAGCCACTACGGGAAGACGTACCCACCTTGGCAAACCCTGGGTACAGCAGGCCGAGGAAGAAACCGAGTATGTACTGAGGAGCCAACCGGACGGTTTGCGTCCTTAGCCCCGCTCGTTGCCTCTCTGGACCGGAGCTGGAATGGGGATGTGTTCAATTACAGTGTAATTTTTTTGCCAAATTTACGAATATATGTGGGGATTTTTTTTGGGGGGGGGATTGAACTCAGGCCGTTGCACTTGCCAGGGAAGCGCTCATTCCATTGAGCTATCTCCCCAGCCCCACGAATGTATGTTTTTTAAAAAGTAATTTAAAGCTTGACATGGTGGTTAAAGACAGCGCCTCGCAATGTATTCCAGGCTGACCTTAAACTCAAACTCATGATGATTCTCTTGCCTCAGCCTACCATGTGCTGGCATAACAGGCTTTGGCACCACTCCTGGTGGTTTTTTTTTTTTTTTTGGAGACAGGGTCTC